TAACATATCCCTTTATTTTGAATATTCCTTCGATTTTTCTCCTAAGCATGACAAAATGACTATATGTACTAAGATAAAAAAAAATGAATAAAAGGGAAAACGAGTTAAGAATAAAATTGCAATTAACACCTAAATGACCCAAAGTTAAAAGTCAAACTGAGATTTTGACTGTGTCTTAAAGGATGAAGGCAATATTCAAAATCAAAAAGTCAAACTCATGACTTTCAACTTTATTGGTCATATGCAAATGAACTTGTAATTGGTGAAAAAGAAAAAGGCATGACCAAATGTAATGGTCATGATGGTGCATATGAAAATGACTATGTAATGCAATAAATTGATAGGACAAAATTGAGATATGACAGTTAGCTATACCAATCATTATCTTTTGAAGGACTCTGCAGAATATGGCAAGCATTAGTAAAAACAACAAGTGACAATTAAGCTCAGTGGTAAGTTTGGCTACAGAGACTAAATTAACAGTAAAAGTAGGGATATATAAGACATTGTGTATGGTAAGGAATCGAGAGAGAACTACACTACCAGATATTCAATCATTTATTTGACATCCATTAGGTAAAGGTACACAAATGGGATTAATGGTGTGCTATGTTGAAAAGGATGTGCGTGTGGAAGTGATGTGATCAGTGGCACCGGTGTCAAGTATTCAAAAGATTGAGGACTTTCCATTTTGAGAGGAAGAGTGAGTGGTCATAACAAGAGGTGTGCTAGTGATGAAATTGGTCATGGGGGTGGAAGGAGTTCATGACTGTTGAAGCATCTTTAAGATATTAATGTATTGCTCTTACATGAATCCAAAACTTGGTGTTGGTGAAGTCGTTGAAGGTTGATTAGAGACATTGTTGGTAGAGGACGGGATTATTGGCTTATTCTTGAACCTAAAAGGATATTCGTGTTTGACAAAACAAGTCTCGATCGTGTGATTAGTGCAACCACAATGAGTACTAACATGACTAGGTTTTGAAGAAGGTGGTTTCCCTTCGAAATTAGGGTTCCAAGCTTTGTTGCCACCATTTTGAGTATTCGAATCGATCTGCAGGGCAGAAGTGAGTGCCAACAAATCAAAAGGATACATATCTACAGAGGAAGAAAATGCCATATCACGTTCTTGTTGAATCACCAATGAGAAAAATCGATCTATGACTGGTAACAGGTTTATTATCATTATCTGCGATCTTGAGGATGCAAATATCTCATTGATATCTTTAAAAAAAATCACATAATCTTGCTCACGTTGGATCTTGATAGATGCAATGACACCATTGGAATATTGAATAGCTCAAGAACAAGAGGGAATTAGGTGATACGATTCAAGCTCATCGTAGAAAACCTTGAGTTGAGTAAAATAATCAGACACGGTGAGGGTACCTTGTCGAAATTTGTAAAGATCTTCTTGGATGTCTAAAATTATGAAAATTCCACTTTGAGAGAATCTTGTTCGGAGATTCACTCAAACTCAAACGACAATGTTGATCTAAAGAATTGATTTGGTGATAGATTCTGATATCGTTGAAAGATCCAACCAAGAAGCATGTTGTTGCATTGCGTCCATTGTGCATGAAAGGGATTAGTAGATATGGGTTTTGGAAGGTTCCATCAATGAAATGGTGTTGATTTCTTAGAAATTAGGGCAAACTCCATGGATTTGGACCATGTGTGATAGATCTTTGCATCTAGGATAGGTGAAACAAGAATGAGAGATGAATTCTCGTTAGGGTGTAGGTAATAAGGGTTTGCTGAATTGTGGTAAAATCACAGTAGTTCACGATAGCCATTGGAGAGAGGATAAGGAAAAAAAGGGAATAATTGAAGGAGATGAACAATGGCTACCAGAGCATGATTGCTACTGATACCATGTTAAGCTTGTAAAACACAGAAAAGCATTCTCATTTCATTTTGAAATAAAATTGATTCAGTACAAAAAAAATAAGGGAAGCAACCTTATTATTCATTAGACTTAGGCTTTCCTATGTGGCAAAATGGTACAATTTCATGTAACTGAAAGCTAATTAAAAAAAAAGGAAAAGAACAGGAATGGGTCAGGACAAACATAAAAGATAAAAGCCCAAAAACAAATAAGCCCAATATATTTAACAATATTAAATAGTTACAATATGATTGGTTTTATTATCTGAAGAGGACGTTTTTATTGTTTTTTTATTGAAATTGCCTTTGCAAAATCAACACAGGATATTCATAGTTGTTGGTCTCGACTGGTTCACTAGAATAGTTGAAGCAACAAGAGTTCATACTCTCGCCTTGAAGCTGATCTTATGTTGATTGAATATACATTAAATAGTTAAAAGATGATCGATTAATTTGAATTAAATGAACATTACTGCAACAAGACAGAAAAGAAAACAACTATCCAAGGGTGTTTTGTGGGTATGGTTCGGTTTCGAGAGAATATGATATTCAAATCGATAAAAATGAATGAATTGATTTGAATGGATTCGCAAAAAAAAATCGATAAAACCGAAACCAAATCAAACAAAGAAACAATAGATTGGTTTTGTTTGGATTGATCGGATACACTAAAAGCAAATGCTCAAAAATATTTTGAAAAAATATTTGTATTTTATATCAACTAATTTTTCATAATAATATATATATTTTCATTTTTTTTTCATTTTTCTATATAGATTAGATGTTAAAGGAGATGCACTGACAGTGTAAAAAGTTTACACTGTCATCCAATAAAAACATAATGTTTTGCCATGCCATATAAAGTTTTTAAAAATTACAATTTAACTTGGCGAGATTCATGGTTGTGATTGGTTGACATTTGTAAAAATAATTTACACGGTCAGTGCATCACCCATTTTCTCTATAAATTATGAATATCATGAATGATGTTTCATTTTTTTTCTTGAAATTGAATATTGTATACTAATTTCTATGATAACGGTAATATAAATTATATGAATTAATCTGATTGATTCAAATAGACGAATTTATTGATAGAATTTTAAAATTTCATTATTCAAATTAATCAATATCATATTTTGTTAATTAAACACAATTTTTGTTCAAACTAAAAATATATTCAAGCCAAATACTATAATTTGATTTAAATTCTAATTTTGTTCAAATTTGTCCTAATTAACTATCCACGAAGAAAACAACAAAGCATTAGAGTCACAAACAAAATTTTTAAATGCATGTGTAAACACTTATTTATATAAATATAAAAGAAAGTCTTTACGACCAAGAGGGACGATTTTATGTCAAAATAGACTTTAGTCAACTCACTAATAAATAATGAATAAGGGACAAACATATGAGTAAATTAATTTTGAAATTGCCTTTATATATAAATAATATTTATTATTATTATTATTATTATTATTATTATTATTATTATTATTATTATTATTATTATTATTATGCTAGTAGATTACTGTAATTTAGTTGTTGTAAATTAATTAGGTCAAATGCTTTCGTGTAACAAAGCATTATCTTTATTCTTTATCAAGTTGTTGTCAAATCGTTAATAGTATTAACAAATTCTAATTGCATGAAAAACCTTTCACTTTCACATTGAAATGATTAGAGAGCCTACTCTCTTATAAAAAAACAAAACACCAAGAAAAAAAGCTCAATATTCAAAGTATCGCCAACTATTAAATATGAATATTTTAAAATTAAATTTAAAATTTAAATCTATTTAGTTGTGAAAGCCCAAGTAATTCAATTAAATTCAACACTATTTTGGCTATTCATCACTTCAACTTTGCAAATGAAATACTAGTACAATTGTATTCTTTTAGAAAGAAAAAACATGTTAACTTTGTCTCCCAATAACTTTCATAAATGATATTTTACCACAACCAAGTTATGTTATAACCACAAGTGTAAAGTGTACTAGTGTTTATAAAACAAATTGAGACATTATTATATAGTACATGCTTTTTCTTGACAAGATCAGAATCTACTCCCATACTTGATTAACAATAATTGAGGCAAGGTAATTCTTGAAAAAAATAGACAAAAATTAATAAAAAGTAACATTAGTAATTGATTAATATTATAAAATGATTTATATATTAATATATATTTTTTAAGAAAAAACTTGAAACTTTTTAAAAAAATCTTCTTCCGTGTCAAAATAATTAATAGATAAAATTATATTAAAATAACTATTATTTAATAAATAAAATTTATTTTAATATGACTGTCATTCTCACATTTAAATACAAAAAATTTATTATTTTTCTAACTGTATTCTTTAATTATTACTTTTTAGTTGGTATATAATTTCAAACCTATTAGTTAGACGTATTAATTGATTTATACCAGTTCATTTGATAACTACTTGTACTAGTATGTTTTATGTTTTCATTAAACGAGTTCATTTGATAAGTATGCATGAAGTTTATATGGAACTGAGATTCCAACCAATTCAGTATCACTTATTTAATTTTAAAATGTAAAATTTCAATTACTAAACAGTATATGACAAAAAAAAATAGGTAAGTCTACTATACTGTACTATACTCTTTCTGTCAAAATCATTGATAAAATTGAAACATGTATTAATGATTTCAGCTTCCCAAAAATATAAGGTAGAACATTAATTGAAAAAATTGTCCATTAGCTGTAAAAAAATTACTCCACTAGTACAATAGAGAATCTGCTTTTATTCTTTATTTATGCTTGTCAATCAAAAGTACTAATAATAAATATAAAAGTAAAAACAACCATTTTCTACATGTATATTTGCATTTTATTTTCATTATTATTACATCAAAAACACAAGATCAAATTAAACCAAAAGTTTCAAAATGATATATTCCTGCATGCAAGATTACAAACCCTAAACAATAAATAAACAAGAGACAAGAAATGTATTTAGCCCTTGAAGTAAAAAATTGCAAAAGGACCCTTACACATAAATAAAAATAAAATAAAATATGTAACTCAGAAAAAGACAAAAAAAAAAAAAACTAAAAAACCATAGGGTAATTTGGTAATTATGATTAATGCTGCCATAATGAACCCTCAAAACCACAAAGAATCATACTTATACTTTCAGAGTTGTCTTGATGCATTGAAATCTGATCCCAACTGTGTGAATAATAAGGCCATCCATCCACCGGGTCGGAAAATACCATATTAACCGGGTCGGGTAATTCGAAACTCGTTCCCAATGCTGGTAGTTCCACTATCTCACCGAGTTCGTCTGGTTCTGGCGTTGACGGTTCGTCGGAAGACGAAACCGCCAACGAAGACGACGACGAGGATTGCGACAGCGAAGAGAAAGAAGAAGAAGATGAAGTATGTGACTGCGATGTTGTAGTTTGTTGATCAGGAACTTCCATGGCAGCGGCTTTGACGGCGGCGGCTTGAACGTCGCGAGGAGATTTCGACTCTGGTCGAGGCATTAACGGTGCGAGTTCAGGGAAGTTGAGGATGGCTGAGTTTCCTTTGATAGCGAGAGCTGCCACGTCATGAGCTCGAGCCGCCATTTCCGGCGTGGCGAACGTCCCGAGCCAGATCCGATTCTTTTTCCGCGGCTCGCGGATTTCGGATACCCATTTCCCCCAAGCCCGCATCCGGACGCCTCGGTAAACCGGGTGGTTGCTGTTGTTACTATCTCTGGGCCGTTTGGGCCTGTTTTGAACCGGGTTGGGTAAACGGAGCTCCGTATCCGTAGTAGCAGTGGCTTCACCAAGTAGAGGTAACTCTCCCATTACCTTTATATAAATTTATTTATATTTTGAGATTATAGTTTGTATTTCTATTTCTAGCTACTAAACAAAAGTCACTAGCACTCTTATTTTTTGACTTGAGGAATATTAGTTAATGTGGCAATGAAGTTACTAGGTATATATTCTGTATGATAGAAGCATAGAAGAAAATGAAAAGATCTAGTGTAAGTGTGTGAGACAAGTAAAGAAGATAGAGAAAGAGTGTGTGAGAAGAAGTTGGGAAGAGAGGGGTTAAGGGTTATAGAGAAAGAGAGAAGAGGGAAATAGGGTAGTTAGAGAAATGAAGGAAGGACGAAAGATATAAAAGAGGAACGTGGGGCTTATATGTATGGTGACCCCCACACGAATGCCTTCCACAATATGTATGCTTGCATACCATACTACTAGTATACTTCTAGTACATGCACATCTACAATCATCTATCAAATATTTATTATATACCCCCACCTTGAACTAGAAACTAAACTAACTTATTTTATTTGACTCTTTAAAAACTATGTATATATTTGTGTACGGATGATCTAAAAATATCTTATTCCACTTTTTTGGTGGAAATATTCAAGTTAATTCATTTACATTGATTTAATTGAGAGGTTAGACGTTATGGATTAATTGGTGTACTAGAATGATGATTTGAGTTATTACAATAATTAAAACTGAATCGGATTGAATCAGCGAGTTCAATCGATTGGGGACGAAAATCAGAATTCTAACTGATTTGTTTGGCCATGAAAATTGGCATACAAAAGAATCAAGATTTAAATAAAAAATTTGAAAATTATTTAGCCACGCGTCCTCAAAATTTTTTTATATAAAAATGTCTTAAAATTTTTTAATTTGTTTATAAATATTTTAAATGACATATTTTTTACATAAAATTTTATTGTTGATTTGGTAGAAAAGAGATCTCATATCTTTTAGATCTTTTGTTTAACTTTTATTAATAAAAAATTTGATTTGATTTATTTATTTTAAAAGTCTCAAAGCGGGTTGGATCGGTCTGACCGATGGTTTAGAGAATTTTAAGATCAGACCAAATTTTATTGTAAGTTATAAAATAAAAAAATGATTTCATTTTGAACTAAAATGTTACTTGATTTAATTTCCTCTTTCATTTTCATATAACTCTTATACACAATAACTTAGAGAAACCAAATAAAAAACATAAAGTAAAAAATATTCTCAATTACTTAATTGTTCTTTATTCAATTGATGAACGAAAATGAATTTTATATAATAATATATAATACACATTATATAATAATAATAATAATAATAATAATAATTATTATTATTATTATTATTATTATTATTTAAATGAAAGTCTATGAACTTAGTTTTGAAAAATTATTTGACTTTTTGTGTAAAAAATAAAATTAATTATTTTATTAGAATAAACTGTATTTTTTGAAAAAAATAATGTAGTTCGGGACATTTTAAATAGGTTTGTGTTATTTTTTTGTTGATAACTTTTAAATATCTTTAATTATTAAACATAAAATTTTAAATAAATTATTAAAATTTAATTATTATAAAATTATCAATAAATTTCTTAAATCATTTTAAGATGTGTTATTCTTGTATATTATTATTTTTATATAAATAAAAGATATTTATTTATTTATAACTGATTTAATCCGGATTCAACCTTTGTCTAACTTTAAAACCTTAAACTTATAGGTACATGAATTTAAGGTTCAATTTGATTTTAATTACCTTGACTACAAATATACACCATAGTTTTATATAGACTTAACAATTTTCTAACTAGTTTTCTTTATTTGGTCTAATAGTCCAGTTATTGAAAATTTACTTTTTAAAAATGAATAAATAAAATATTATGGATTCAAATCTTTATTATTAGAGTAGAATATACAACTATTAACTGAATTGATATAGCGAAACATCTTCTAACTAGTTTAGTTATAATGCAAATGTACCATTGTCTAAAGTAAATTAGACATAACAAACCTCTAACAACTATAATTATTAATTTTTTGACATGCTTTAATTACTTACTACGATATTTTTTTAATTCAAACTATCAAAAGTTACCATTTTGACTTATCTCCTTACCTTTAAAAATTAATCTCTCTTACAACATTCATGAGTTACTCTTGTGTAAGATAATACTCCCCTATTAACTTGTTTTTATTCATCTGATTTTTAAATAATTGGAACATGTACTAATATAATTGCAAAGATATCAGTGGGATATTGAATCGAACTTTAGTATAGTCGAAGTCTGTTAGCGAATAATACGTGTCGTAGTTAAAATTTGTTCTAACATGCATTAGTCAATATTTTTAAGTTTGTTAACACGTTGAATTGCCACTTATGAACAATCAAAAATCACTTTGATTTGTCTAATTCATCTATCCCAAATCTTATCATAAAAAAATGAGAAGGTTAGTATAAAACTTGGCATTAACACCCACCGTTGTTTCTTATAAGACATGTTTCTCACTTCTTAAAAGATCAAACATCTCACTTCTTAAAAGATCAAACATCTCAGGATCGTGTAAAGTTCCTAGCTACTAATATGTTGAATTAAAATCCATCTTGGACCAATTATTTGCCATCAAATCAACTTATGATTGAAGAAGAATTAAGAGAAGAAATCATGGAATTAGTAGTAGAACAATAATAATTTGACAAGCATAGACAATACTTTTTATAAGTTTAAAATCCTTCTATAGTAGTATTATTTTAATTAAATAACTTTTTTAAAGTTTACATTCAATAGTAAACACTTTTAACAATATTTTATTATTCGTTTCGTTTTAATAGATAAAATTTATTTTAAAATAATAATAATGATTTTTTAATTGTATTTTAAATTATTATTCTAACATTATTTTAAATAAATTAATAAAGTTAATTTAGTAAAATTTAATGCCTTATGATCATATTATTATAATCAAATTACAATTGTTTTTTAATTTGTATACAAAAGTTTAAACTGCATTTATTTTAAAATGGAAGTAGTATAGTTTAAGAGGAAGAGAAATTAAGAAAGATAGAAGAGAAGAGAAGGAAGGTAACAAGGGACAGTCACCCTAAATAGTTTGACCACAGCCAAAACCAGATATTATGGCGACACAGGCTGGCTGGTTGGACTGACGCCAATTACTATATTTTCCATCATCTTGACATGACACCAGCATTCATTCACCAGCTAATAATGCCTCACCTCACCACCACCATTCCCTTTTCCCCCCTCTTTTACTTCTCCAGACACATTCAGGAATATATCATATCCTATCTAGCACATAAAATTTATACAATTTTATATGCAACACATAAGAGTCCAGTTACTTAGTTTTTCATCATATTTAATACACCTGGCACTTGCTATAGTAGATTCCTAACTCTAACTAAATACTATATGACATAATTAAATTACCTTTTTTCATGTTGTATAGTCAAGCTAAAGATGTTCAAATTGTCACACTCACAATTCTGACACTAAGGGATAAGGAACTAGTTTTACTTTTCAGTGATCTTAAAAGGTTTGGCGTTTGCATTTGTTATCTTGTGTGTATTCGACTGTTCATGCACACTGAGTCACTGTGGCTATTCGCCTTGGGAAAATGAAACCATATGACATAACATGAACAAAATCTACACTTTGTTGTTTTCATCGTTTAGTAGTTTTATGAATTCAGGATGAATATAGAATCTAAGCTATAAAAGAATATTGGTCCCAGCGTTAGGAAAATCACCGATTCAACTTCATGTCTCTTCGAGATAAAATCCAAATTTGGATATTTGGAAAATAAAAATTATTTAAGAGTATGTGCAATTTAATTATTTTTGGAAATATAACTAAAAGGTATTTTATTATTATTATTTAGCTATCACAAACACGTAGACAAGTATAAGTAAATATTAAAATAAGGAAAAGGGTGGAAAAGTTTCTAATTGAGAGTTGAGAGGTTGGTGAGATTATTAATTAGCAAAATTATAGTCCTTTATCCTCTTTGCCTTTGGGAATCTTTACTTAGAAACAATAAATACGTACGGTGTAAAACTGTAAATACTTACTAAAGTAAATGGAAATTCCAAGCTGTTGATCTCTCGTCAGTTATACGGCGGTTGATAGAATGTGTAATGCCTCCCTCGCAAGCGTAAGGTCTTAAGCTTTGGTTGTATGAGTCAATCGAAGGTGTTGTGTGTTTCTCCATCTCAGCAAGAGATAATAGGCAAGATGATACATTTTCTATGTTGATTCTTTTATCTGTATGCAGTGAGAGACCTAAATAAATCTCTCACGTAAGAGATCATATTTTTAGTCTTTTTTTTCCTTTTCAATTTCAACCAGCAAAATTTCAGTTTATTTATTTATTTTTACTTTTAATTATTTAACAGCGATTTTAAACTACCGCAAAATTTTAATTTTTTTTCCAACCATTTAGCAGTAGTTTAAAAATGCCGTTAAATAATTAAAAATGAAAAAAAGAATGCAAAATTTTAGATCTTTTACATGAGAGACCTATTGAGACCTCTCACAATCTGTTGGTTTTATATGTAGTTGTTCTTACACTTTTAAAATTCCACACGGTGATTGAGAGCAATTTCTACTAGTCTTGACGTAGGTCTTGCAAAAAAGTAAAAAATTATTGTTATAAAAAGGACGGTATCACTCAACACTTCTTATATGATAGACCAACGTTAAGTTTCTCCCAACACGCACTGTTAGGCACCACAAGAATAAGTGTCTCTCGTCTTTAATCCCCCAACACAAAAAGATTTCATCCTTGGTGAGATCTTTCCGCTCTTTCCGTTCTAAATAAGCTATCATTTTTCGCTAACTTGGAGATGAATTGTATCAATAACCTCATATATGCAATAACAATTGATACTACATACTGAATTTTTTTTCATTTTTTCAAACTTCCATATGACTATCATCATGAACAACTTCAAAAAGCTGATGAAGTATTTTCACCATTTTGTTTCTACCAAAGATAATATGAATG